GCCTTGCGCGGGTGGTACAGGATCTCGCAGTCATAATCCTTTACCACATCCAACCATCTCCTCTGGCGCATGTTCAGGTTGGGCTGATCCATCAAGTACTTCAAACTCATGTGGTCCGTGTATATGATACACCGAACCCCATACAAATAATGACGCCATATCTTGAGGGCGAACACCACGGCCCCCAACTCCAAATCATGGGTGGGATACCTCACCTCGTGAGGCTTCAGCTGCCTCAATGCGTACGCTATCACGTGCCCTCTCTGCATAAGCACCACACCCAACCCCGATATCGATGCGTCACAATACACCACGAAATCCTCCATTCCTTCTGGAAGGGCTAACATCGGGGCTTCGCACATCTTCTGGCGAAGAGTCTCGAACGAGGTCTGCTGCTCTGGACCCCACGTAAAAGCAACGCCCTTCCGGGTCAACCTGGTGAGTGGCACGGCAATCTTGGAGAAATCCTTGATAAATCTCCGATAGTAGCCGGCCAACCCTAGAAAACTCCTGATCTCGGTGGGGGATCTCGGCACCTCCCAACTCATCACCGCCTCAATCTTGACCGGATCGACCAATATCCCATTCTGATTAACGAGATGCCCCAAGAACTGGACCTCTCGTAACCAGAAATCACACTTGGAGAATTTGGCGTAAAGCCTCTCCGATCTAAAAACCCCAAGGATCTCCCTCAAATGCTCCTCATGCTGCTCCCGGGATCTCGAATACACCAGAATATCGTCGATGAACACGATCACCGATCGATCCAACATCGGCCTGCACACCCTGTTCATAAACGATAAGCATAAATGCTTAGTGAGTTCCCCAAAATACCGCGATCCTCGCTGGTACCTGAAACACATATCACATAAACGGTAAGCATAAATGCTTAGTGAGTTCCCCAAAATACCACATACGCACATATGCCACTCAAGGCTATAGCTCTACAAGACCTTCCAGTCCGTGTGTCTCAGGGGACTTCCGTCCCATAACCTGATAGACCTTCCGGTCCCACTTCTATGACCTTCCGGTCCGTATCATCTTGACCTTCCGGTCCATATCATAATACTCATAACATAACATAGCACATACATATCATATAACAACATACATCACATACTCATCATAGCACATAAGACCTTCCGGTCACACATAATTACCACTCTAGGTAAAGTATAGTGAGAAGACTCACCTCGTATGATGTCGGATAACCTCTCGTGCTCGATAACCCGACCTAGCCTCCTCCTATCAATATAATAACATCTCTAATCAATACTTTCTCTTGTCTTCATTTCTAAAGAATGTGTAGAAGACCATTCTACCCCTCCCCGACCTCTCTTGAACCAGCTTGACCAAAACCCTAAGGTCAACTGAAGTCAACTCTAGTCAACGGTCAAACTTTGACCAAACTCGTCGAGTGCACTCGTGTGACTCGGCGAGTCCATGCGTGTCCTCTTAATCCTCATAAATCCTCACTCGACTCGTCGAGTTAACCTTTCACTCGACGGGTTACCACTGGTCACAAATCGTGGGGCAACCCGACTCGACTCGTCGAGTCCTCTTATGGACTCGGCGAGTTCCCTTCATGACAACACTCAAAAGACCTTCTGAGGTCAGATCTGCTTCTCTAACCTATAGATATGACCTTCCAATACACAATAATCACGTAAAGGTCCAACATTTACACTCATGCAACACTCATAGGGCTTCTTTTGGTGAAATAGCTTCTAAAATGGCAACCTAGGTTCATATCTCCAAAGGAATAGCATAAAGCAGGATAGTTAGGACTCTCTGGACCTCTTAAGGTCCAGATCTAAGAAGAATTCCACCTTGGGACCTCATATGCTTCGAATCCAAGCTAAAGAAGGCATAAGAAAACCCTAAATTCAAGTAGATCACCATATACACGAGAATGAGCATAGATTTATACCTCTAGCAGCCTCTTCTGATCAAATGGTAGTAGATTTGAGCTCCTCAATCTGCCTAGCTTGCCCTCCTTCCTTCTTTCTTGCAAAATCACACTAGAAATGATGAAAATGGCTTCTTTTCTCACTCACAAAGCTCTCAGGTTCTCTGGTGCTCTCAAGGGTGAAGGTGGCCGCAAATGAGGGCCATAAGATCCCTTAAATAGGGCACATGCCCAAGGATTTAGGGTTTCTGTCCACAGCGCGGACTCGTCGAGTCAACTTGCTGACTCGTCGAGTTCATTCATTAAATCCAGTCAGCAATCGCGATCCTACTCGACGAGTCTAGGCGTCAACTCGTCGAGTCCTTCTTCTTGACACAAACTAAATAATTAAAATATGATACCTGGAATTCCGGATGTTACAAGTATTGTAACATTTTTAAAAAAAAATTGTTTATCATAGACAAAGTTGGAATAAATCTAAGTTTAAAAAACTATATATATATATATATATATATATATATATATATATATATATATATATGTGTGTGTGTGTGTGTGTGTGTTTTAGGCTAGAAGATGTTTGAAGACTCTGGTTCATATTTGCGCCAAGAAGAGGACGCGCAAACCTTTTAAAGTCTGTAGTCTTCAAAAAAACAAATAGTCTGCGAAACCTAATGTCTGCCTATGGTTTGCAGGACGCAGACAAAAGAAACCAAAAAGATCTGCAGACGAAAAAAAAAACACCTGTCTATTTTTCATTAGTTTTTATTTTGTCTGGTGTAACATCTTAATTCTAACTATCAATATAAGTGTTATGAATTATACTTATAAGTTAAGTGTATGAAAAGTAGTTTACAACCTATTATGTTGAAGAAGGGTATTTTGGTAATTTATTATGAATGTTAAAATTTATGTGATTGAAGGTATAGGTCTTGATTGTTAGTATCTTAAAATGGGATAGTCTTAATGACTGTAATATATCGAGTATAAGTTCGTAAATTGTCGTAGTCACGGTGATTGAAATACCACGGAGTAGAAATGGATAATCCTGGTAGTCTTTGTGGCTGTAATACCAATGGATCGATACTGAAGATAGTTGTGGTGTGGTAATACCATAGGTTGGAATGCATGTGGAATATCATTTGGAAAGTACAAAATGTAGCGGTGAGCATGGGTTGGGTTGGGTCGGTTTTAGGATAAAACCGAACCCAACCTATGTATTTCGGTTTCTGGGTTTTAGAACCCATTGTGTTCGATTTTTTGGTTCAACCCATGGGTTGATGGGTTTTGGGTTGTAACCCATTTTTCAGCAAATCTTTATAACTTCAAAAATGAAACAAATTTAGCAACCTAGATTAAAGAAATTAAAAAACCAATTTCAACACCAAAACAACATCAAAAATATGTTGCTAAAAGTTTACAACAATCAAATTTAAAATAACCAAGTGTACCAAGTTTTTAAGAACAAAAACAAGTAGCAAACAACCGAGTTTAAAACAACCAAATTGTCATTACAACCAAGTTCAATCTTCATCCATTTGAATCACTTCACAATTTCCCAATTTATCTCCAAATAAAAAAAAGATTAGTATTGAACTATAAACTTATAAATATGAAAAAAAAAATACTTACTAATTCATCTACAAATAATAAACAAAATAGTATGAAAAATATATAATAATATATTATAGAGGATCTAATCAGTTTCAAACCCAACGGGTTGAGTCGGTTATATGGGCCGGTTTGAGGTATTAAAAACCGAACCCAAAACTCATTTTTTCGTTTTTAAAAAATTTAAACCCAAACCCGACGGTTTGGGTTCGGTTTCGGTTTTGTCGATTTTTGAATTTTCAGGTTCAGTTTACTCACCCTAACAAAATGTTAATGTATGAATACTCGAAGCAACATGCACTTTCCTCCTAATCAGATTGAAAGATTCAAAGAAAGAGAAATATTGTTCTTAAATAACTGCCAAACAAAACAGTAAACTTTTTAAGATGTTACAGTAACATTATATTATTTAGATTCTCACCATATGTTTCGTTGCATATACATGGATAAATCTATCCCATAATGGATGTAATGGAACTTTTGGTATGGCTAGAGGTTACTTTTGTAAGTAACAAAGATATGAATGTATTTAATTTTAGGATATGGTTGATTTCTAAACGTTTACTAAGATTGAAACTTATTTAGGTCTCATTAAATACTATGTACACATAAAACATAAACAAACACCCAATTCATGCTGTTGACAGTTAACACCCATTAAGGTTTGGTGCATCAATAATGTTGGACAACTCACAACTCACAACTGTCCTTATATTTTATCTTTCTTCCGAAGTACGAAAACTTAATAATTAATTTGGACTTCTATTCTTATATATTTTGAAATTACACCTACATCCCAGAAAGGCAAAAACAAATATAAATTCCCTCATATTTTCTCTTATAAATTTACTACAATTTCTATATAATTAAATAAATACACAAGTGGTGAGAGCTGTGTGTGGACCTCCATGAACATGATCTTAATACCTTTTAAAAAACTTTTCCCACCCCTCAATCCACGCTTACCACCCATCGCTTTCACTCGTTTTCTGCTTCTAACTAAAATCAATCTGAATAATACCTCATAAAAAAAAAATCAAGACTATATAATCGATTGCCATAAAATATAAATGTTGACTAATGGGTTGTTTTTTTTTTTTTCCTCCATGAAGTTTTATACGAATAAAATAACTATAAAAAGTCTGTATGGGAGAAATATTGTATCAATAAGGTCTATTTCTTTGGTAAACTAAAAAAACCGTTATCTTACACAATATTTCATCAATATTCCATAATTTTACATGTCATCAAACATCTTAATACATTATAAAAAAAAGAATATAAGAATCATAAATTCATACAAAACACCATCAAAGAAACAATTATTCTTCAACTTGTGAATACATACAACTTATATATAATTATAATTAGAGAGAGTAGTACCCAAGTACAACACCAAAATAAATTAATAAAAAGTAACAACCTCCATCAAACTGTATGTGAAAATAAAAAAAAAATAAAAAAAAAAAATGCAAATTTATCACCTTCCTTTAGGATTCATAATCTGTGAGAAAACAGCACTCGGAGTCAACCCATCGGAATCCTCACTCGCCAAACTCCTCCCACCAATACTCATCGACATCCCACTGCTTCTAGAATCCGTCACATTCCCAACCCCATCATATCCTCCCTCTGCCTTCCCTTTCAATGGCACGTCATCATAAACACCATCCTCCATCTCCATCACCGCCCCTTTCCCGCCACTCTCCTCCGCACTCTCCTGCAACTGCAAAGCAAATTCAAGATTCCACAGCACATCACCCATCGACGGCCGCTCAATCCCCTGATCCGCCACACACTTCACCGCCGTCTCCGCCACCTTCTTAAAACATTCCGGCGAGATCTTCCCCTTCAAATACGGGTCAATTATCTGGTCCAAAATACCCTTCTTATGACAATGCTGGGCCCACTCCGCCAAACTCACTTGCTCTTTCGCAAGTGTCGGGTTTAAAGCAGGTCGGGCACACAAAATCTCAAACAGAACCACCCCGAATGAATAAACATCCGATTTATCCGTTAGTTGTTGCCGCCTAAAATATTCCGGATCCAAATACCCGAAACTACCCTTCACCACTGTACTCACATGCGTATGATCCAACGCGGGCCCCGTTTTCGACAACCCAAAATCCGAAACCTTCGCCACCCATTTCTCATCCAACAATATATTTGTGGTTTTCACATCGCGGTGGATAATCGTGTGCTTTGCGCCCGTGTGAAGATAATGTAGTCCTCTCGCCGCGCCTATACAAATCTCGAGACGTTGCTTCCATGGTAACGGTTGGTTTTGGGTTTTGTAAAGATGCTCACGGAGGGTCCCGTGTGCCATGTAATCGTACACTAAGATCATTTCGTTATTGTCTTCGCAATATCCGATTAAGGAAACGAGATGCCGATGCCGGAGTTTGGAGAGCATTTCTATTTCCGTTTGGAATTCGTTCACGCCTTGATCGGAAAGTGGATTCCCACGTTTGATTGCGACTTTTGTCGCGCCTCCATCGACTTCACCTTTGTAGACTTTCCCGAACCCACCGACACCGAGGAGGAGGGATTCGTCGAAGTTGTTGGTGGCGGATTTGATCTCGGAGAAGGAGAAGTGGCGGCAGAGGTTGGAGGGGTGGGAGGAGGCGTAGCTTCCGGTGGTGGTGGTTTTCGCGGTGGAGCCGGAGGAATGGGAGTTTCCGTATAAGGATAATGGAAGCCAACCGGATGGTCCGTCGCTTGAATTTTGATCTTTTCGTTGTTTCCTTCCACGGGTCAAGAAGCAAACGAACAATCCGATGATGAGGACGGCGGCTATGCCGCCACCAATGCCGCCACCGACCGCTGCGGTTTTGTTTGACTTTCCTGACTTTATTGACAACCCTCTGGTGGGGTCGATGATTGGTTGTACCGGAGCGGGGGCCGGAAGTGTTCCCGCAAGATTCCCGTCACTTGAGTTGATTTTGAAAATCTCGATTCCATTCAAGATTGCATCGTATCTTTCCGGTTTTCGGGCGGAATTGGGATGCAATTCCAGCCATAGATCTTGTCTTGGAGGTCCGAGAGCTAAAAAGACAACATAATCTTTGTAAACGGGGACTTCGGGTTTATTTGCCCACGCGATTACATCTGCATCGGTTTCTGCGGTTTGATTGTTGATAAAAATTTCAAACACTCTTTGGTTGATTTTAGTAATGTCAGGAGCAACTTCACAGAAATGGAGTCTAACTAGATATGAAAATCCAGTGTCAACGTCAAAATACCAACTCAGATTGTAACCAATGTTGATTCCGGGGGTGGGGCCCATTGATCTGGCGGTTTTGTACACATCAACTGGAGCAATATAATCCGGCATACCGGAAGGGTAATTGATTGTGATGTTGGGGTCTGTAGCTACTGGAACACCCACTGCAGCTCCATATACGTACGCATTATCACCTCCCCATGGTCTGAACAACCCTGTGTCGCCAGATGGTGATATAGCCTGTCCACCGACGTTTAATCTGTAGACATTTTCAAGAACTGTGTAGTTGTTGATGTTGAAACCGGTGCTGGTGCCTACAATCATGGCGTTTCCATTTGAAGAGTAGATGTCTGGGTGAGAGACAACTTCAATACCATTGACAAAAGCGTAAGAATCGGGGGTGTTTGGAGATGGGGTGAATGTGATGTTTAAGAGTCCAGAATCGACATTGACTGAGAATTCTTTTGTCATGAAATCGAAGTTGAGATTGGTGGTTGTTTCTGATGCGCTGAAGTTTTTAAGAAGGGTGTATGATCCGGAGACGACAGAGAAGACGCCTTTGGAGGCGTTTAGGTTTGCGTAAGATGCAGGGTAGAAGTAGAGGCGGACGAATTTTCTGCCGGATGCTACCGGAAAACTGTAGGTGAATTGAGATCTGAAGATACGGGCGGTCATGTAAGGGACTGTTGGAACGGAAGGTTTTTGGGTGGCGGCATCGGAAACTATGGAGTTTGCGCCTGCTAATGCGAACTTTGACCCTACATCAGTGGTCCATTGTCTGCCATCATCGTCGCTTAATTCCCCGACTGCACCACAGTTGAGCAGAATCTTATCGGAGGGGTTATAGTCGGCAGCTAGAACTAGATGAATTACGCAACCTAGTAGCAGAAATGAAAGAAGGAAATCAAGCAGGTGATGCCGATCGGGGTTTCTCATTGTAATTCCCCAATTTCAAACCTGAAAGTTAAAAATACGAGAAAGCATAATTAGTTTTTAATTTTTAATGTTTAAATATTCTCAAAGCCGAAAAATCTAAGATATTTTGGGGAAAACTCGATCAAAATTCAATTTCGAAAAAGCTGAAATACTAAATAAATTTGATGATAAATATATGATAAATCCAATTAACTTTCAAACTCAAAACAATCAAATCAGCAGAAATACAACACACAATTGAGCAATTTTTAAACAGCAAACACATAAACATAACGGTATCAAGCAAATCCAAACACATAAAAAGGATCTAACTTCAAACAGAAACTAGGGTTTCAAGTTTCGACTCGTTTTGAAACAGATTTGACTCAACCAAAGAAATAAAGTTGAAAAAAGGTGCATGAAACAATCAGATCTATGTAGTTTAACCAAAAGGGGGAAAGAGTTGGCTAAAATAAAGGGAAAAAAATTTCGAGTCCAATTAGCAGTGAAGAACAAGTAATTTGGAAAAACATATCTTGTGATTACCTGAAAAAGATGTGGATTTGAAGTTGCGAAGAGATGTTGAAGTCAATGCAGTAGCGCTCAAGCCATAGATTGAAGAAACATCAATTGATTGTTGAAGTAAGAGCGACGAATATGTGATTATCGAGAGAGAGAAGAGAGATGAAGAAATTAAATGAAAATAGGTGGCCGGATTTTATACTTTTTTATATGTTCATCAGAACGTGGTTGATGTAATAGCAGAGCATATGGTGGCAGATTGTGTAGAATTACAAAAACAGCCCTCCAAGTTATAGCCGCTTTTAAAATGCGTATTTTTACCGGATAAAATACTAAAAACGTAAGTAATTAGTTCAAAAACTTCTTTTACTGTATCTCTTATTTTTTTTACCATTTTATGAAACATAATATAAACTACAGAAAAATATTATATAAAATGATAAAACTGGCTGAATAGGTACATTTAAATAATTATTTTTTTGTATAAAATAGTAGTTTGCTACATCATATGATTAAAAATACATATTAATATTTTGATAAAGTAGTTAAATATGTTTTTTGTAATCAACCCAAAAGAATCAAGACCATTTTGTCAATTTTAATATTTGTACTTTCATTTGTGAACATTATGATGTGACCTAATTTTCATATTTTAAAGAGTATCAACTTATTATCTATTTTACACCCAATTGAATTTTTTTATTTTTTTAGTTAAAAAAGTTAAAACTTAGATTTTCAAAAAGGAAGTTCCGAGGGAACATAGGTCAAGAAAATAGAGGAAATACCTGGGGGTCAAATTGAATAACGCGTCAAAATGAAGGGGAATAGTTGGACAGATCACTAATGTACATCAGACAGCATATTATAGCCGCGTACGCGTCAAATCCCACCAATCATTTCGTAATTACGTTACGATACTTATATTATGTGATTATTCCAGTTACACCCCTAGTATCATAATAAATTGCAGTCGACCCTCTATAAATTACGTTTTTTTTTTTTGGACAGTGGATATATTACTAAAAACGAAAAGAGACTAGTAAGACGCTGGAATACAAATTACAAGAAACGATTTATAAAAGGGCTACAACACTAATTTTGCCAAATTAATTGGTATTTGACAAAAGAGTTTATTAGTTTATTAGAGGTTTTATATCATTATAAGTTTAAAAAGTGTTTTAACAAAAATAACTTATAATTGTGGCAAACCACTAACAAGTCATTTTTCATAAGTTAACTCTCTTTAACTTATTAGCTTACAAGCTAATAACCTATAAGTAATAAGTTTTTTTTGCCAAACACCCTCAAGTTATCAACATTCCCTCTAATCTTTGTTGACCTAATTACTTTGAATGCCATATCTCATCTTGTGTGGTGAGATTATTATCTTATTGAACATAAACCAATTCCTTGCCTTCCATAAAAGCCACATAGAAGTATAAATTAAAGAACGCCTTAACAAGTTGTGTTTTTTTCTATTTTTGTTGTGGAGAATTCAACATCTCGATGAGATCAAAAGTATAAAGTGGGAGAGAAGGAAAAAAAATACAAGACCAAGACATCAACCAATTCCAAACAATTTTAACAATTTTTACATATTCACATGAAAAACTATATGATTAACCGTGTCTTCCTCACCACCACAAAAACAACAAAAGTTCATATCAACTTTGTCTTCCTCGCCACCAACACCCCCCCCCCCCCCCCCCCTCTTTTATCTATGTAAAAGAGCATGTAGTATACATTTTAATTCTTGATATCTCTATTTTGAATTTTGGATCATTTTCTTGTTCTAAAATAACATATAAAAATATCAAATGTATTTCTATATGTCCATATACATATTAAAAGTTCATAAAATCATATATATATATATATATATATATATATATATATATATATATATACCATTTCTCCATAGTTATTAGCAATCCCTATGCATGACATAATATGTTTTTCTATTTTAAATACAACTTATGTTAGAAATACACACCGAATTCATGTCAAACCAAGCATCCTATATGTAATTGGAGCAAAGGGCCAGATTGTCAAATAGGAGAAGAAAGTAAGTTTACATTTGGAACTAAAGCATATTTCACACTCATAAAAGTTATAATAGTATGGCTTCATACACTTTTACATGATACATTACTTATTATATATGTAAGATGGTATATTTGAAAATCAATGCATCTAAAACGAAGATAAGAAAAAATCATGTTATAAATTAAGTATACATAATTATATGATTTTTCATATTGGACATAGGTTTGTTATAAGGAAGTAATAACCCTGAATTCATTAAAATAGTTTTGATTTTTTGTTAATCTTCCACAAAAATTATGATTTTGGGGAGTTAGTGTGTAAATAACTGATAATAGGAGGACTTATTTTGGAAATAAGATATAATATAGAGGCATAAAACCTCATTTGGTTGAAGTTTTCAAGCTTTTAGCTGGCCGGAGTTTGGACTTTTGTATTATGTCCTCTTCATAATATGTTATTGTTTTTCTCGTTAACATGTTCATTTATGTAAATTTCATACAAAATAGTAAATTTGTTAAATCAATTATTAATAAGGAATATGATATCAATCTATAAGATTATAAAGTATTTTGAATTTTTCTTTTTTTGTTAACTCTAACGCTAATAGCATATAGAAAAGTAGTAATATGTGTTTTTATATTTGGAGTCCAGCCTAGAAATGGTGGGTGTCGCATATGAACACTTTGGCATGTGCCATCGTATGAAACCTAATCTATTCATGTATAATGAGATTAATTAAACATTTATATAATCCCGTTAAGGTTTTTTCAAAAATTAAGCAAAGTTACGGACATTCTGAAAATAGTTACGAATTATACAGGTGTCCTCCATAAAATTGGATTATCCACCTGCGAAATGACCTTTTTTTTTTAAATCTATTTTCTCTGACCCAATCTCATTCTCCCACATCGCAGAAGAACAAAAATGTATTATCTTTCTTGTTCAATTCATTTAAGTTATAAAAAACTAGAAGAACAAAAAGAAAAAAGTGATTTCGATAACTTGATGTGGTGATTCAACAAACAAGAAAAAGAACACCGATGACCAACAAAGTTAATAGCAAACAGTTTAAAGCCCGTTTATGGTCACACTTCAATGTCTCATTATCTTTACTTTTAAAAACACCAAAAATTAATTACTTTGATTAAATAATAAAAATACCATAATGTTGAAACATTAATAAGAAAACAGTGGAAACGAGGGTGATATGTAACAAGTAATCTAAACATTATTTTATTAAACAATAAACATATCACAATGTTGGAATTTTATATAAAATTCATTGAATTATTACATTATATAAAAATTTAAAAATACATGCATTTCGGATTTTCGGATATCCGAATTTTACAAAATTGTTATCCAAATCTGAATACAAAAAATTGGATATCCGGTTTTTTTGGATATTTTCAAACCGGATTTTAGATTTTTGGATTTGGATATTTAAACATCCAAAGCTCCACAACTCGATGATTTTCAGGTTATTTACTTGTCTCAAGATGACCTCCAACATATTTCAACATTACTCAATAATACCGTAGCCACCACATAATTTTTCCTGCTCAATGTGTCGGGATAACTACTATTTTCTCCTAAACAATGTTCTTCTTTACGAGTTAAGAAACCAATAAACATTTTAAAATTTATCATAAAAAATAACCAAATAATATTAGTTTTGAAATCACTCGCTTATTCTTTTGTAAACTTGTTTTCTAAATATGGGAAGTGATCATAAACTATAAATAACGATCTTGAATTGGCTTATTGTAAGATCCCAATCTCTCGCACGATATTTTTGCATCTAAAGGAAAACAAAGAATAAGAACATAACCAAAAGCCTCCATATTTTTTTCTAAATCTTTCAAGCCAGGTTATATTTCCAATCATTATTCTTGAAAAAAAAAACAACCATCAAATCTATTCGTATAACACCTACAACTGCAATTTCATCTTCACTTTTGGCCCGACATGATCTCGATCTTTGGATTCTTTTAGGTTTCATCATCTACTACAATATCTCAGTTGAATTGATTATGGTTGAACAAACTTCTTTTGAATCCAAAGATGATATTGGAGAAGTAAGACGAAACTGTTCATATTTATACATAACTTTTTTGTAGTGAAACCTGCATGCTTTAATGAGTTATTTTTGCAGATTGCCCCCTTTGATCCCACAAAGAAAAAGAAGAAGAAAAAGGTTGTAATCCAAGATATTGCAGAGGATGATCGCTTATCTGAGAAGATAGATAACCTATCTCGTCAGTCTATTTCTCTTACTAACCATCGAACAAACTTTTATTTTTCATGTTTAACAGATGGTATTTGGTTTCTTGCAGTTGCTGATGGAGTAGAAAATGCATTTGTGGGTATGAAAAAGAAGAAGAAAAAACCAGTAAGTATAACCCATTTGCAAACAAAAAAAAAGAGTTGCCCCTAAATTGTTGATTCTTGTTTTCTTAGGTGGGAAGCGATTTGACAAACGATGGAAGTGCCCTTACAGGTGCACAATTTCTCTTAAACATTTATTTTTGTGTTCGGATAAATGATGTTTAAAAATATAGAAAAAATATAAAGATAAAAACAAATGGAAGCAAATTTGTAAAAAGTTAAGGCTCACTTTCTTAACATTCTCTATTAATTTGTTCTTTCTGTATTAAATGAAAAAGAAACTCATATACACCTTACTAGATTAAATAATGTCTCCATAAAATTAAATAGAAACATCACCCTTGTATGTTGTACATAGGGCATGGTGGTGAGGATGAAGAAGATGCAAACAACTCGCGACAAAAATATCCATGGGAAGGAACCGACCGGGATTATTTATATGAGGAGGTGTGTGCCACGTTACGTTAACATTTATTTATTTATGTATTTATTTATTTATTTATTTTGTCACGTTTGTTATTGAAATACAATAATATATTCGTTAAACTATGTATATATACAGCTTTTAAGTAGGGTTATTCATATTTTGCGAGAAAACAACCCCGAACTCGCTGGAGATAGACGAAGGACAGTGATAAGACCCCCACAAGTTCTTCGAGAAGGCACAAAAAAGACCGTTTTTGTTAACTTTATGGATTTATGTCGAACGTATGCACGTCTTCTTTTTAGTATTTTTCTTACATTTACTATTTTAATACACACTACAGGATAAGAGAGGATTGGACAATCTTTGAAAGACTATTTTTCGATAATTACGGTGACAAGTACAATCTGACCTAACTTCACCTTTCGTTTGGTGGGACAGTTGTTATCAGTTCCAATCTCAGTCCAATTCATGTCATACTCAATGCTACATTCTCTGTTCAGTTCAGTTATGTCCAGTCATGTGTAATAAATAGTGTCTTACGGTTCATTTTATTTATTTACCAGAATGCATAGACAGCCGGATCATGTGATGACTTTCCTTCTGGCTGAAATGGGAACAAGTGGTTCCCTTGATGGTCAACAAAGATTGGTAGTCAAGGGTCGATTTGCTCCCAAGAATTTTGAAGGAATCCTTCGAAGATACATAAGTAACTCATGCTCTTTGCTATTATAATTTCTTTCCATTCCAAACATATTATAAATTGATTATAAATGTTATAATGGTTGTGATTGTAGACGAATATGTGATATGCAATGGCTGCAGAAGCCCAGATACAATTCTTTCAAAAGAGAATCGTCTCTTCTTCCTTAGATGTGAACAGGTAACTAATTAAATAAGTAAATAACAACTAAAAAACATTAGAAAAACACATTTTTTATTTTATTTGTTAATTGATAATTATATTGTTTGAATTTGGTTTACAGTGTGGTTCTGGGAGGTCAGTGGCCCCCATCAAGACTGGTTTTGTTGCACGAGTCGGCCGTAGGAAAGCTGGCTCCTAGTTTTAGTTCAAGTAAACAACTCTACAATAAAAATGTAACAAATAAAGGATTTATAAAATCTCCTATTAACTTTTTTTTGAAGTATTATTTCATTTCATTAATTTGACAATGGATCTTTTGGGAGTGATTTGACTTATATATGTATCATAAAATAGTGAAAGAAGCCTACAGATTCGTTCATCTTGCTTCTTGCTATGAATTATACCCATGAAAGCTTTACACAAGCAAAGAAATTTACCAGAAAATCAAAGTGTAAGAGAACAATATCTATCTCTTTTTGGATTGAAACCAAGGAACCAATCTCCTGAAAAATAATCAATATAAACAAAAAAAAAGAGATTTTATGGTTTAATTATAGGGAAATTGCATAAAAGACACTAAGTTTACACAAACTTTATATAAACTTTATATATATATATATATATATATATATATATATATATATACTTGCCAATTTGAGTTTTCTACTTCGATAAACCGCGCTTGGAAAGCACAGAAGCAGCTTGATCACCACCCAATAAGAAATAGGGATGCATGTGAGTGCATCAGAAGCTGATAAACGACCTCTACGCAAGGATCCTCTTTCAGAGATAAGCTTTGTAACCAAATCCCACCCTCTTCCAGAATCAAGATCGAGAACACTTATATCAGGTCTAGTTCGTGTCTTTTCCCTCCACAATTTCAAATCATAATTCACAACTTTCAATTCAAGGTTAAAGTTCTTCAATCCTGCACTAGACCTCAAACTTGGTATCGCCATTTGCATCAACACAATCCCCGCAAAGTACATATCAAACAAATCCGGACTGTTTAGCTGCAACACAACGAACCCTAAATTTCATTCATAAAAGCTTCAGAAAGATAAAATGTTTGAATTGATAATCACAGACTTGCCATAGAATTGGGGAAAGAAGAGCTGCGACTGGTTCTGGAGGTGGCGATGGTGTTTCTTCTGGTAAAACGTAGAGTTCTGGAGAGCAATAATCTGGATCTAGAAGACCTCGATTGGGTACATAGTTTTTCCCGATTCTTAAATCTGTTGCTGCGCCAAAATCTATAAGTTTGATTTGTCCCTTTTTGGTTACGACTAAATTCGCTGGTTTTACATCGCGATGAACAATCCCAGTGTCATGTATTTTCTTCAATGATGAAATTATCTGCCTCATTATCTGTTTGATAATCAATGCGTTTCGTTCTATGGATTCAAGTCCTTGAGCGATTCCAGATTTAGAAGGAAAATTCGATCTTTCATGTAATCAGCAAGGTCTCGATCTCCCTGTTTCATTAATTTAATTCCAATGAACTTAAATCGTCGTATATTCGGATAAAACCGAATTATCCAATTGGACAATTTGGATTGGACTATTTGGTTCGGATATTCGGATTTTTTGATTGGTTTTTTTAACAAAACCGAATTATTATTTTGGATTTCGGATTGGTTTTGGTTTATAAAATAAGAACCGAATAGTCTAAAAAAACCGAATAAACATTTATTATTTATCTATTTATAATATATATCCATAGTTATTTATTAGTTTGGTAATTTATTTTTTCAAATAGGTTCAAAACGTTTCACCCGATAAAAAAAACATTAATATGCATTTTCTCTCAAAAGTTTTCTATCTATAAAATATTTAACTATAATATATCTTCTTAGTAGTTGTTTATAAATTTCAAAACACAACTAAATAGTTTGTTTTTGGTTCTTGTGTAAAGTTGGGTAATATTATAATTATATATCGTTTTAAAATGTTTCGTTTTTTGAAAACCGAATTATAAAAAACCAATCCAACTGAATTGTAATTGGATCGGATCGGATCGGATTTGAATTTAGATTGGACTATTCGGATCCATGTTTTGAAAACCCAAATCAATTTGGATTCACTTGATTGGATCGGATCAAACCGATCCATCCAAACGAACATCCCTAGTCGTATGAATTGAACTACTTGAATTCGTAAATGGGATTTTAGATTTTACTCTATTGGCTTGTATGTGTTCGTGAATCGTTCTTCTCCAGCAGGAATTGCAAGGGCAATTAGTTGTTGCGAACTGGTTTATTATTAATCGGATGCTAATTTCAAAATTAGGAACTTCTAGTAGGTTTTTGAAGTGTTCACAAGACAAGTTTCAAACGCGAAGATAATGTGTAGGGAAATGAAGTTGCCAATTTTCTAGTTTCTCGTCTGTTCGTTAAACTGATTAGTAGGTTTAATCTGGTTGGCGAGAAAATTTTATCTTCATCTGATTGTGTGATTGTTGTTTGTTCTTATGATTTCTCGTTAATTGATGTAAAGTTCTCTAACTATATAGTAAGGGGATATGTAAAATTCTGATCTTATATATGAAACCAAGCATAAGCGGAATCATTTTTTACTTAAATCTAAGTTTGATTCAGTGTTCTCTTTGGTACTGAATTAATTTCTGGTCTCAACAGGCAGGATTGCCTACAAGATTTAAGCAATGGTGGGATTATAACACCTGTCCTTTTCTATTAAAGTGTTGAAACATACTTATCCAATAATGTCTTTTAGGAATCATTTGAGAATCCTCGGGGTCAAGATTATAGCCATGGTGATCTTCAAATGGGAACACAAAATAACTCGAATTCTGCAGAGTTAGGGTTGGATGATTTTTTCAAGAAGGTGTGTTATATACTTATATCCTTTTATTTCTACATGTCTAATTTCCTTGTGTAAATCATAAAACTTATTGTATACTTCTTTTTTCTAGGTTCAATCCATCGAAAACAATATGAAAAGCTGAATAAATTGCTCAAAAAACTACAAGATGCTCATGAGGAATCCAAGGTTGTAACCAAGGCTGCTGTTGTGAAAGGTTGTTCCTATTTCTATATGAATCATGAGTTCATAGCCATTTGCTAATGTAAACAAGATATCAATCTTTTCAATTATTGATATAAATTTTAATTAAATGTTTGTTATTTTACAGCAATCAAGCAACGTATGGAGAAAGATGTGGATGAAGTTGGAAAGATTGCCAGGTTTATTAAATCAAAAATTGAGGAACTTGACAAAGAGGTTAGTTTAATTTTTACAAACAACTTTTTGTTATTATTTATTTGATAATTCTTACTTTTTGTTAATATATAATTCAATAATTCATCCTTTTTGTTATTTACTAGAACTTGGCCAACAGACAAAAGCCTGGATGTGGAAAGGGAACTGGAGTTGACCGGTCAAGAATAGCAACTACGCTATAAGTTCTTAGTTCTTACTCTCCACCCTAATTTTAATAAATAAAAAAAAGATTACATATTTAGGTTTACAATGATCTTTGTTTGCAGTTCTTTGAAGAAAAAGTTTAAAGACAAAATGTCTGAATTTCAAGTATTGCATCCATATTCCATGGATTTCATTCTTTTATATCATTATATGGTTAATGGTTTTACTCAAATGATTTAATGTTTTTACATTTTTGGCTCTAAGGGAAAGTATTCATCAAGAACATTGTGAGGTGGTTAAGAGGCATGTGTATATAGGTTCTACATTTAACTTAAACATTATATACATGGAAACTTAATGTGTTTTAAGTTAATTTATCCAACTTATTATTTTTTTATGACTATTTTCAGTAACGGGAACCAGGGCAGATGAAGAGGTGACACTTTTTTTATATATAATTTTCAATCCAATATTTTTTATAACTTTTATAGGCACATGTTCATTTTATTCCTTACTTTCTACAGACAATCGATCAACTCATAGAGATAGGAGATAGTGAACAGATTTTTCAGAAAGCAGTTCGGGAACAAGGGCGAGGACAGGTTAGAAATATTAATTATAATTATAATTATAAAAAACATAAATGATAAATTTTTTATGTATTTGATGGATTATGTTTTATTTGTATTTTGTAGGTACTTGACACCCTTGCAGAGATCCAAGAACGCCATGATGCAGTAAGAGAAGTAGAAAAGAAGCTTCTTGACTTGCAACATGTGACATCCCCATTTTTCGCGGCCAGAAAAGACCGATTTCGTTTATGCTTTTATAATAAAGTCAGAGTAATCTTTCAAAAGAAAAAGTGTTGCGGAATTTGTTCCCAGGAAAACATGATAAATATACTTTCAAAGCATTTCCGAGGAAATGTATTTTATTCATTTTAAAACTTTGGGATGTCAACGTCAATACAGAAACATAAGCATAAACAGAACTTACATTCATTACACTAGTGCTCTACATCTCTTTAATCTCTCGGTGTAGTGCAACTTTATATTGACACCTGTGATACAAATAAACTGAGTGGGTCAGGTTGGGAAACCTGGTGAGTACACAGGGTTTTCAACCCACAATAATAAAGTTATTATGTTTTCATCATCAAGCAATTAACCCAATTACCCATCCCCGTTATCTTCTTTATTTCTTAAGGATCTACCCTAAGAATCATCTAGCACTCATTCCTAAGGATTTTTCTAAGGAATAGGCACGAAGTCCATCGTCGCCAGGGTTTATACAACAGGCACTAAATCGATAATTGTCAGGGTTCATCCAACGGGTGCTAAGTCCACAGCTCTCATTTATCGACAATATTATTTGCGGGAGTCCACCTGCAATACATGTCAATGGGTTTTTAGAGTACATCGAGTGTACATATCGTTCACAACACCTACAGGTAGTGAGCCTGCTAGTGTTCCACGGACCGTCTAGAATAGTCCATGGTTGTCATCCATACTCTGCTAGATGACGGGGCCATCGTTTGGGTAAATGTTTCTCTTATTTTTCACCCCTCACCCTCATCTCATAATCTATATCACTTTTTCATCTCATCCTCCAACTCATTTTTCATCACACATAGACTTATTTCATCTACCCAACATATTCGTAGATATAAAGTACATATATAGTTCAGATCTGAAGAAAAAGATTAGATCCATAAAGAAAATTCATATACGTTTCAGATCTGAAGAAAAAGTTTAGATCTGTAAAGAAAATACATATACGGTTCAGATCCGAAGAAAAAGGTCTAGATCTGAAAAACAAAGTTTAAATCTTTTATCCAGCATAACTTTCAAAGCATAAAATACTTATACAGTCTAGATCTGAAGAAAAAGTTCAGATCTGAAAAGAAAGAAGTTTAGATCTTTCATCCAGCACAGTTCTCAAGTACAATATACATACATACATACATATATATATATATATATATATATATATATATATATATATACAGTTTAGATCTAAAAAGTTTAGATCTGAAGTGAGAAAGTTTAGATCTGAAGGGAAAAGTTTCAGATCCAAGAGAAAAAGGTTTAGATCTGAAAGATAAAGTTCTGATCTGAAAAGAAAGAAGTATAGATCTTCATCCAGCATACATCTCAGGTAAACAGGTAATATATATATATATATTATATATATATATATATATATATATATATATATACACACACACACATAGCACGTAATTTATATAAAATACTTCATATCTATGTGTAATATGAAAGTGACCATGCACTCACCTGATAAGGAGGTGATTTGGACAGCACTTCGCTTCTTAAAATGATCTTCTTTGATGAAACCGGCAAGTTTGCTTGAAAACCAGGCTCTGCGCGGGCAGAGTTTCAAACCGAAGAACTCTTTTTCTCGGAGACTCCGGGCTCTCCGGGGCTTTCTTCTAGTGCTAGGAGGGTACCCTAGGCTTTAGGGGGGGATAGTCTAGAAAGAGAGTAGAGAGAGAATGTGTTGGCAAAAAGTGTGAAAATGAAGGCTGGCTTCGGTCTCTATTTATAACCGGAGGTCCTGGGATACGCGGGGCGTTCCTGCGAGGTACGTTGGGTGTTCCTCGGTACACAGGGTGTACCCTCGTACGCAACGCGTAGGTGCGAGGTTCGTACAATACGTCTCATTCATCGGATGGGGTAATGTGGCCGAACCGAGCCTAGTCTTCGCATACGTTGCACGTTCCTTCCCTCTACGCGGGGCGTAGCCTCGCATCCAGCTTCGCAATTTACACCTCCGACTTCTAAAATTCATAACTTTCGCATACGAGCTCCGTTTTCGACGTTTCTTATATCCACGCGTAGGTAGAGACGTACTCTACAACTTTTGTTTAGACTCCGTCGGCTAATTTTGACTTTATTTTTAAAGTTATATTTTTAACAGGCCGGGCTAGGAAAGTCCGTTAAAAAAATTCATAACTTTTTCATCCAACGTCCGTTTTCGTCTGTCTTTTTACCGTTGAACTACTATTAACAAGACCTTCGATTCTCATTTAGGTTGTGTCGGCCAAAAATGGATCGATCTAACATTCGAACTCCGGGCTGTGTACTGTTGATCCGAAACTTAGAAAAATCATAACTTCCTCATACGAAGTCAGTTTTGAGCGTTCTTTTTATGCACGCTCTTAGTTTAATGAACACTACGACTTTCGTTTAGATCACTAAGGCTATAAAGTCTTCTATCGTAAATTCACTATTTACGTCTCAGAGTGTCGTGTCGGTTCTGTCATGAAACTTCGACAGGCCATAACTTCTTTATTATAACTCGGATTTTGGCGTTCTTTATATATCCAGAATCCTTGTCACGACCACTACAACTTCTTTCATCGTTATCGGGTTTATCTCACACTTTATCATTGACGCTTATTTTCATTCTAAATTTATTATATCATCATAATTAAGTATAAAGCACATAAATTCACATAGTACTTAATTAATTCATCTTTATTACTTTAAAATAGGTTACAATGGTTGACCTAGACTATTACATCATCTTTAATGTTTAGCCTAGAAACACGGGCATTATAATTCTCTCCCCCTTAGGATGATTCCATCCTCGGAATCATGCATCAGCAGACAAGTGCGGATAGCGACTCATCATGTCGCTCTCCGTTTCCCAGATGAGATTTGGCCCATTCGAATGTTTCCATCGCACAAGCACTAATTCGACCATCTTGCGTCGCAACTTCTTAGTCTTACGGTCAACAATCGCCTCTGGCTCTTCTATTAGCCTCTTATTTTCATCCATCCTTAACTCAGAAATTGGAATTATGTCGGGAACTTCTCCTGTGAACTTCCTCAAATAACACACATGGAATGTGTTATGAATACCATCTAGTTCTTCTGGTAGTTCTAGCTTGTAAGATTTGTTCCCAATCCTCTGAAGAACTTTGAACGGTCCAATAAACCTTGGACTCAACTTTCCCCTTTTTCTGAATCTTATAAGTCCCTTCCATGGTGAGACTTTAAGCAAAACTGAATCCCCAACTTCGAATGTCACCGGTCGTCTCTTCTTGTCAGCATAGCTCTTTTGACGATCCTGAGCTGCTAACATCCTTTCCCTAATTATCTTCAACTTTTTCAGCAGTCTGATGGACTATCTCGTGACCCATAAACTGCTTTTCTCTAGCATCAAGCCAACAAGACGGTGTACAACACTTCTGTCTATACAAGGCTTGATAAGGTGTCATCTTGATGCTCGAATGGTAACTATTGTTGTAGGAAAATTGTACTAGAGGTAAATGTCCATCCCAATTACCTTGGAACTCTAAGGTACATTCTCTTAGCATATCTTCAAGTGTTTGAATCGTTCTTTCGCTTTGATCATCGGTCTGCGGATGGTAAGTTGTACTTAAACACAATTTTGTACCCAATTCCTCTTGTAGACTTCTCCAAAACCTTGACGTGAAACGACTATCACGATCTGAGACAATCGTTAAGGGAACACCGTGAAGTCTTACTACCTCCTTCATGTAAGCATTTGCAAGCTTATCCATAGACCATCTCTCATTGGCTGCTATGAAGTGTGCACTCTTAGTGAACCGATCAATGACTACCCCAATCATGTTGTGTCCGTTCTTTGTCCTGGGCAGTTTAGTCACAAAATCCATGGTGATGTCTTCCCATTTACCCATGGGTACAGGTAAAGGTTCTAAACTCCCATACGGTTTCTGATGTTGTGCCTTAACTCTCGCACATGTTGCATACTCGGGCACATACTTTGCAACATCGAGCTTCATCGTCGGTCACCAGTAGTAGGGTTTTAGATCCCTATACATCTTAGTGTTGTCGTGATGTATCGAGTACATGGTCTTGTGAGCTTCTTCCATCAGAAGATCTCTTACTCCTCCCATCTTAGGTACCCAAATACTACCATGGAATACCCTCAATACTTGAACGTTTGTACCGAACACTAACGTTTTTCCTAAACGCTCTTCTTTTCGGCCGTTCTTCTCTGAAGCTTCTTCTTGAGCTTTCTTAATGTTTTCCACAATCGTTGAGATAACTTATATTCTTAACGCTCTTAGCCTTTTTCTTTCTTTTCGACTTAGAGCATCAGCTACAACATTTGCTTTACCGGGGTGGTAAAGTATCTCATAGTCATAATCCTTGAGTAACTCTAGCCAGCGTCGTTGTCTCGTGTTTAATTCCTTCTGATTAAAGAGATACTGGAGACTCTCATGATCAGTAGAAAGTTTGCACTTTATGCCACAAAGATAATGTCTCCATATCTTTAGAGCGAATACTACTGCTGACAACTCCAGATCGTGAGTGGGGTAGTTCTTTTCGTGGTATTTCAGTTGTCTTGATGCATATCCTATCACTTTTTCCCTTTGGGTTAGAACACAAACCAACCCAACTCCAGATGCATCGCTACAGACTATGAAGTTTTCAACTCCGTTCTCAGAAACACCAACAAGACATGGCTTGTATACTAACTCCATACGTTATTTCTTCATCCTAGGTAATAGTCGTAACTATTATGTTACTTCATATAAGTATCTAAATTTTGGAATTCTTGTCTGCAGGCGGTGCTCGCTCTTGCTCCCGCTCTCTATCCCATGTTGGACTTTAAATCGTGACCTTCAAGTCATAACCTCAATCCTTATTGGAGAATCCTCTTTCTCCTTAACAAGCTTAAGATAAGTTCTTTCTTTCGATTACCATAATAGGCTGATGGGTCATGTTCTAATGACCTCTCGTCATATGATGCACTGCCTAGACTCAGGTCTTCTAGAGTCAAGTTTCTGAACATAATATACCTTCCTTCGTGTTCCAATGTGATAATATCACATTCTAGCATGTAGTACTTCTAGCTACAAGCTTCTTACTTTAACAACGATTATGATACTTCAATCTTCTAGCTTAAGTCAGATGTTACATCGATCTTGGTTCTTTGAACCACGTAACATACTCATCTTAGTCGGACTCGATTTGATATGACCACTAGGGTCGGATTAACAATCATCTTCTTAGTCATTACCGAAACGATGGTAATGACAGATATGAACAAAACGGAAACGATTACTAGCTTCTTGGTAACCTTATGACCTTCCTTGATCCAAGTGTGAGTCATGTGCTTCCGGTAGTATAGGCCTCTACTACCATTCACACCTACTCATACTCGTCCTAAGTATTGTCTCGCAGTTTTCCAAGTCACCATTCAAGAATTTCACATAATCATTTAACACATCAGAAAACAAAAACAAGGTTTTGTATTATTTGTTGAGATGATTACATAGATGTTAAGGTTCAACCCCTACTATGCCTCTAATAGGCTACACCACATGCTACTACGGCTGCTTCATATCTTGATCTTCGGTTATGAAATCCTTACTCGTGAATCCTTGCGTTGTCACCTTCTTTGTCAAGGAAGTTCTGAAATGCCCTTAGCGTTGGCGGTGCGCTTGGCCTTGCTGGTTCATTTTTCTTCGGGCAGTCCCTAGAAATATGTCCTTCTCCCCTACATCCGTAACACACCTTCTTGGTAAACGTACACTCATCAGCGTAATGCCCAGTCTCTCCACACTTGAAACAAGTCACCTTCCTGCCATATTTTCCAGAGTGTTTGTTTTTTCACTTCTCGCACCATTTTTCTTTACCTCCTCTTTTTCCATACATTGAGAACATGTTGCTCTTGTTGGGCCTTGAAGACCCCTCAAATTTCCTCTTCTTTCTGATTTCAACCTCGATGGCGGTCTTATCGTTGATAATTTCTTCGACAGACTTAGCAACGCAGATGGTCGCCTCAAGAGTGGGTGTCTGGCGTACTGGCACAGTAAGTTCGTCCTTACTTTGTTGAAGTAAACTCCTTGTCTCTTCCATCTGTTGATCTAACATCATCCGCACCATTGCCTGTACTCCTGCCATTGTAATTGGCTCGGGTGCAGCTGCTACTTCTGGTGCACTCTCAGTCACTTGTGGCTCAGGCTGCGAGTTACCATTTTTGAATCCGCTTCGAGCGCTCACCGTGTCAATCTATACACCAAAATCAAGAATTGTGTCCGACCTAAAAACTTACATAAACAAATGTTGACTTTGATGCACAGATATTTATGGATATGGTTGTATTGGTGGATGCTCAAGAGGAAATGCTAGACAATACAGAGACACAGGTAATTGACCATTTTGCCCTTCCAACAAATAATTGAACAAACATGACTTGACATATGATAGATAGTACACATCAAAAGTCACACACCGTTGATTATTGTTGTTCAACTTAACTTGAATGTTATAGAACTTTGGGGTGGAGGTGAAAAGACTATTTTAACCTTTTGTGTTTTGTTTGTAATATTGATGGTAAATAGGTGTCAAGTGCAGTAGACCATGTGCAAGATGGGAACAAGGCCCTTTACAAAGCAAAGAGTCCACAAAAGAATTCAAGGAAGTGGATGTGCATTGCTATTTTAATTTTACTCATTATTATTGCAGTAGTTGTTGTTGGTGTGCTAAAGCCATGGAAAAGTGGCAATGGTGCTTAGTTACATACACCCATTGAGAGTTTGAGTGTGAGGTCTTATTATTATTATATTATTATTATTATATTTACCCTATTCTTGTGTAAATTGAGAGCAGGTACTAGTGTTGGTGATTGCTTAGATAAACTTATTGCAAAATTTCTTGGCTTGAAAGAGCTTCGTGGATGCATGGTTCTGGCTTTAAATGAGGAATACACGACTAAATATGCACTTGTTAAATCATTGTGGATGCATGGTTCTGGCTTTAAATGATGATTTAATCTTCAGAAGATGATTTCTTGATTTTAAATGAGGAATATCATGTGGTCACTCGATTTTTTTGTATTATTTATGTTTTAATTCCTATCGTTACCGGTTCAACATGATAAATTACAATAACAGACATGTTTATCATGCTTGATATATGTATAAGGCCAGTAGAGTGGCGTCGAATTTGTTAAGCTCCACCTCATCCCCATGTCATGCCCAACTTAACCAAACCATTACTCGTCTTTGTTGAGGAAAGATAAACAACAAAAACATGTTGAGCAAAACATAAAAGCTCGGTATGCCGAGCACTCAGGTTAGTGTTTGTCGAGCCATATCAGCATGTCGTACCCGTATGACCGAAACACATCAGCATGTCTGGCCCACACATAACCCATTTTTTGAAGGTATGACTTGAGATTTCAAACCCAATAAAATAAGATAAAAACGAGCATTAGCCGATAACAAAAGCCTGTATTCACGATCTGTCAGCGAATTTCTCTCCCTCTCTCTATCTTGCTGTTTCGACACACACACTTTCTCTCTCATTGTTGCTTTTCTCTCTTCTTTGAATAAAACCCAAACCCAAAACCTAAACCCAATTTGAATCCCCAAAAAAGGTTAAAGATACAGCAAAAAAATCCCTCGTCTTGAGAAGAAGATCTAGCTTCGTCGAATTTGTTAAGCTTCACCTCATCCCCATGTCATGCCCAACTTAACCAAACCTTTACTCGTCATTGTTGAGAAAAGATAAACGGCAAAAACATGTTTAGCAAAACACAAAAGCTCGGTATGCCGGGCACTCTGGCTGGTGTTTGTCGAATCATATCAGCATGTCGTACCCGTATGACCGAAACACATCAGCATGCCCGGCCCACACATAACCCATTTTTTGAAGGTATGACTTGGGATTTCAAACCCAATAAAATAAGATAAAAAATAAGATAAAAACGAGCATTAGCCGATAACAAAAGTTTGTCTTCACGATCTGTCACCGAATTTCTCTCCCTCTCTCTATCCTGTTGTTTCGACACACACACTTTCTCTCTCATTGTTGCTTTTCTCTCTTCTTTGAATAAACCCAAACCCAAAACCTAAACCCAATTTGAATCCACCATAAGGGTTAAAGATACCCTCGTCTTGAGAAAAAGATCAAGCTTCGACTCACCATGAACGATATTTTATCTATAAGTTTCTCTTCAAAAATTCTATCCTTTTTTATTTCTTGGTGATGGGAAATTCGAATTTTTGAGCGACAAAAGTTGCATTGTTCACAGCTATAGAGATTCTCAGTACCTTCTTCAAGTATTAGATTAATTTTTAGATCTTGTTTCCATTTTCATATTTATCGGTGACGAATGTTGGTGTTTAAGCTTGTAATCAACTGGAATCTATGAATTCATTTATGCGCTCTAGTCACATCAACTCTGTAATCAATTTGTCTGATTGAAAATTTGAACCTATACCTCTGATTCTAAACAAAAAGGAAAAAAAACTATTTTTCAAACTTGTATTAGATACTTTTAGGTAATATTAGGCATATGAACTACAAATGGATCTTTGAGCTTATTTTCTTCATTTTCTTTCACATGCGATCCGTTGACTTTGGATGTCAAACCTTTATTACCTAATCTTCATTTAGTATATATCAATTTATACTTATAACACCTGTCCTTTTCTATTAAAGTGTTGAAACATACTTATCCAATAATGTCTTTTAGGAATCATTTGAGAATCCTTGGGGTCAAGATTATAGCCATGGTGATCTTGAAATGGGAACACAAAATAACTCGAATTCTGCAGAGTTAGGGTTGGATGATTTTTTCAAGAAGGTGTGTTATATACTTATATCCTTTTGTTTCTACATGTCTAATTTCCTTGTATAAATCATAAAACTTATTGTATACTTATTTTCTCTAGGTTCAATCCATCGAAAACAATATGAAAAGCTGAATAAATTACTCAAAAAACTACAAGATGCTCATGAGGAATCCAAGGTTGTAACCAAGGCTGCTGCTGTGAAAGGTTGTTCCTATTTCTATATGAATCATGAGTTCATACCATTTGCTAATGTAAACAAGATATCAATCTTTTCAATTATTGATATAAATTTTAATTAAATGTTTGTTATTTTACAACAATCAAGCACCGTATGGAGCTAGATGTGGATGAAGTTGGAAAGATTGCCAAGTTTATTAAATCAAAAATTGAGGAACTTGACAAAGAGGTTAGTTTAATTTTTACAAACAACTTTTTGTTATTATTTATTTGATAATTCTTACTTTTTGTTAATATATAATTCAATAATTCATCCTTTTTGTTATTTACTAGAACATGGCCAACAGACAAAAGCCTAGATGTGGAAAGGGAACTAGAGTTGACTGGTCAAGAACAGCAACTACACTGTAAGTTCTTAGTTCTTACTCTTCGCCCTAATTTTAATAAATAAAAAAAGATTACATATTTAGGTTTACAATGATCTTTGTTTGCAGTTCTTTGAAGAAAAAGTTTAAAGACAAAATGTATGAATTTCAGGTATTGCATCCATATTCCATAGATTTCATTCTTTTATATCATTATATGGTTAATGATTTTACTCAAATGATTTAATGTTTTTACATTTTAGGCTCTAAGGGAAAGTATTCATCAAGAACATCTTGAGGTGGTTGAGAGGCGTGTGTATACAGGTTCTACATTTAACTTAAACATCATATACTTGGAAACTTAATGTGTTTTAAGTTAATTTATCCAACTTATTATTATTTTTTATGACTATTTTCAGTAACGGGAACCAGGGCAGATGAAGTGGTGACACTTTTTTTATATATAATTTTCAAGCCAATATTTTTTATAACTTTTATAGGCACATGTTCATTTTATCCCTTAATTTCTACAGACAATCGATCAACTCATAGAGACAGGAGATAGTAAACAGATTTTTCAGAAAGCAATTCGGGAACAAGGGCGAGGACAGGTTAGAAATAATAATTATAATTATAATTATAAAAACATAAATGATAAATTTTGTGTATTTGATGGATTATGTTTTATTTGTATTTTGTAGGTACTTGACACCCTTGCAGAGATCCAAGAACGCCATGATGCAGTAAGAGAAGTAGAAAAGAAGCTTCTTGACTTGAAACAGGTGCAGATTTATATTTTATATATTATATTTTATATATAAATATACATACGGCTAAATTGTTAATCAAATATGAGGCAATTGATAAGAAGATAAAAGTTGTGAAGCTCCATGATTTTCTAATCATTGTACAACTAGTGACATGTTGAACTGTTCCATGATTTTACAATCATTCTACAGCTGTCTACGAAGCACAAATGACCTCACCACCCCCAACAACCGACATGCTTAAAATTATGATAATAACAATAACTTTTCTAGAGAATATCATTCTACTCTAATTAGGGTTTAGGGTTTAGGGGTGACACTTTTTTTATATATAAATATAATTTTCAAGCCAATATTTTTTATAACTTCATTTTATCCCTTACTTTCTACAGACAATCGATCAACTCATAGAGACAGGAGATAGTGAACAGATTTTTCAGAAAGCAATTCGGGAACAAGGGTGAGGAAAGGTTAGAAATAATAATTATAAAAACATAAATGATAAATTTTGTGTATTTGATGGATTATGTTTTATTTGTATTTTGTAGGTACTTGACACCCTTGCAGAGATCCAAGAACGCCATGATGCAATAAAAGAAGTAGAAAATAAGCTTCTTGACTTGCAACAGGTGCAGATTTATATTTTATATATAAATATACATACAGCTAAATTGTTAATTAAATATGAGGCAATTGATAAGAAGATAAAATGTTTGAAGCTCCATGATTTTCTAATCATTGTACAACTAGTGACATGTTGAACTGTTCCATGATTTTACAATCATTCTACAGCTGTCTACGAAGCACAAATAACCTCACTACCCCCCAACAACTGACATGCTTAAAATTATGATAATAACAATAACTTTTCTAGAGAATATCATTCTAGTCTAATTAAGAATTGTGTCCGACCTAAAAACTTACATAAACAAATGTTGACTTTGATGCACAGATATTTATGGATATGGCTGTATTGGTGGATGCTCAAGGGGAAATGCTAGACAATATAGAGACACATGTAATTGACTATTTTGCCCTTTCAACAAACAATTGAACAAACATGAATTGACATATGATAGATAGTACACATCAAAAGTCACACACCGTTGATTATTGTTGTTCAACTTCAACTTGAATGCTATAGAACTTTGGGGTGGAGGTGAAAAGACTATTTTGACCTTTTGTGTTTTGTTTGTAATGTTGATGGTAAATAGGTGTCAAGTGCAGTAGACCATGTGCAATATGGGAACAAAGCCCTTTACAAAGCAAAGAGTCTACAAAAGAATTCAAGGAAGTGGATGCATGGTTCTGGCTTTAAATGATGATTTCATCTTCAGAAGATGATTTCTTGATTTTAAATGAGGAATATGATGTGGTCACTCGATTTTTATGTATATTTTATGTTTTAATTCCTATCGTTACCGGTTCCAGGTGATAAATTACAATAATAAACATGTTTATCATGCTTGGTATATGTATAAGGCTAGTAGAGTGGCGTCGAATTTGTTAAGCTCCACCTCATCCCCATGTCATTCCCAACTTAACCAAACCATTACTCGTCTTTGCTGAGGAAAGATAAACGACAAAAACATGTTGAGCAAAACACAAAAGCTCGGTATTCCGGGCACTCAGGCTTGTGTTTGTCGAGCCATATCACCATGCCGTACCCGTATGACCGAAACACATCAACATGTCCGGCCCACACATAACCCTTTTTTTGAAGGTATGAATTGGGATTTCAAACCCAATAAAATAAGATAAAAATGAGCATTAGTCGATAACAAAAGCCTGTCTTCACGATCTGTCAGCGAATTTCTCTCCCTCTCTCTATCCTGTTGTTTCGACACACTCACTTTCTCTCTCATTGTTGCTTTTCTCTCTTCTTTGAATAAAATCCAAACCCAAAACCTAAATCCAATTTGAATCCCCAAAAAAGGTTAAAGATACAGCAAAAAATCCCTCGTCTTGAGAAGAAGATCTAGCTTCGTCGAATTTGTTAAGCTTCACCTCATCCCCATGCCATGCCCAACTTAACCAAACCTTTACTCGTCTTTAATATAAAAATACCACAAGTTGATATAATCAATTTATTGTTTAAACATGAAATTCACAACTTAATGCAGTAAATTCACAGTTTAAAACACAAAAATCATAGCTTACTAGATATCATCATATTTTAACACAAAATCCATATACGATTCACAGCTTAATTCAGTCGATTTACAACTTAATATTGTTCATTTAAAGTTTAATCACAAAAGTCGTTATAGTTGAAATTTAAGATCCAAAAGATATCCACATCAGATATGTAAAAAAAATAATGTATTCATAGTTTAAAACTTCAAGACCTCCACATTAAAACTTGACAAATTATGACTTTATGAGTAAACTAACATATCTGATAGAGATTTAAAGCACACCAACGAAGATATGAAGTAAACTGCCACATCAGAGAAAGATCGAGGAAGAATTTACTCAAAATTACAACAAAGAACTTCATTTTAACAAGCTATGGAAGAACATAAATTAGTGAAAATACTAAAAATATGTGAACAAAAGTAATAAAATGAGTGTACATGTGATATCCTTCAAATTTGGAACAAAAAAACACATAAAGCTTGTCGATCTCGCAAGGAAACACCGACGACAGATCGAATCCACAAAACTAACATTGGAGACCAGAGATTGCAGTTGTTAAAACTCAGATTCAATTAGATCTAACCAGATATGAATAGATCTAGATTAGGAACACCATCGCAAATAAGAGAAACCCATAAAACACTCATATCTAACCAGATCTGAGCAAAAGGTGACAAGGAAAGTCATGAAGAATGGAGGTGGTCGTTTGTCGAAGATCGCATAGATCTAGATCTAGAGATGAAAAAAACAAACAAATTTCAAAGATCTAAGACATGAAGAAGACGAAACCAAATCTGAAGAGATCAAATCTAGAATCATGAGTACGAAGCACACAAAATGCACTGATCTGAGATGTTCAGGTGGTGATTTGACATCAGAGGTGCTGACGGTGGTTTAACGTCGACGATAGTAATTGCTCTCTAAGTCCGAGACATTTTTTCCATTTAGAGAGAGAAAGTGGAACTAAAGGAGGTCGGTGTTGTTGGTGGTTGTTTGGCTTCTTCAACGATGACAGTTCATCGGAGTAGTAGTGGATGTGACGAAGTAACCGTAGATCTAGATCTAAAGGTGGTGGTTCCAGATATGAAGTTCCAGCGACAGATGTAGGTGTTTTCACATGTGATCGGAGGCTGTGACAGAGGACGATAACTGACGATTTTGGATTTGTCGTTGACGATGGTGGTTGCAGTAGGGCCGCCTCCGGCGGTGGTGTTGTCGCCGACAATGGTGGTGGTGGTGTTCTTCTGAGGTCATTGAAGGAGATGAGAGAATTACTTTTGCTCTTGAACAACTATAAGAGTATAGAATCATATATGAAATTTAGGAATAAGTTTTTCAAAAAGACCATTATAACCTTATTGTTGGCTACCGCACAAAGCAGTACCACCTCAACCCAACCATACTATGTCGACATATACATATAACATAACATATATCCAACAACATATAAGCATATAACCGGTTATCAGACAAACATGCAGATTCACATACCACTACCGCATACTACATCCTATATACTAGGATACAGATCTAACATTTCACTACAGCATAACACATACAGTAAACCAGGATATCAATCCAATGGGTCGGCCTTGGTGCCTTCGACCCGTAAGTACAGTGAGGAAAATCACCTCTCAATCTGAACAATAGCTAATGAGGTCCCAACTCCGAGTCTTAGCTCTAATCGTCACCTATCCATCCAAATGACCAATTCTCAAACACAATCCAAATACCCCTAGGTCAAAATCAGGTAAAAGTCAAAATTCCAAAAAATCAACTGATCCAACCCGGTTGATTATGCCCTGTGTACTCAGCTGTACGCCCAACGTACGCGTTGGTTGACCAGGCACGTGCCTGTTGACTAATGACTATGTACGTTCAGCGTATGCCTTGTACATCCAGCGTACGCAGCTGGCTGCCAACCTAACTCATTAAGAGCTTAATCCTTAATCCCTGAAGTCCATTTCCCAGATCCAAGTCCAAAATGATGTCCTTGACCAAAAAATTTCCAACATTATGGTCTTGCATGGCCATGAAGTGCCCAACACCAAAGATTTTAACCTCTTAAATTATTTAAGACAACTTAGGCCATGCATGATAAGAAACTAGTGTCCATGATTACATTTTTATGGCTTAAGAGGCTCCAAAACCTATGGAAGGACAACTAAAATGGATTAGAGTAACCCCCACTCATAATACCAAGCTTATGGGATCAAAAGAACATAAAATCAAGCCCAAAACAAGATCTAAGTATAACTTCACCAAGTTCAGAACTTTATACCTCCAAGTAATGACAAATGATGATGTGATTCTGGATCTAAGGTGCTTCACTCCTCCAAGATGGTATCTGCTTCGTTCTTTCTTCTACTAAGGCACAAAATACACACACAAGCTTAAAAAATGCTCACAATGTAGATTAGGGTTTGCAAAAACATTTTGAGAGGATGGAGGTTGATGAAAGGAACCAGGTTTAAGGGTTAATGAAGAATAAATAGGGTCCAAACCCTAAATATTAGGGTTTGGGACTTCACCCCGTACGCCCAGCGTACGTGGCTCCGCCCCACAATTCTAAAAGAGGCAATATTATCCCCTCCTAGTCACAAATCTTACATTTTAAGGACCAAAATGTAATAAATCTCAATATAAGGGTCAAAAGTGAAAGTACCTCAAAACAAGATGTTACAGTCACATGCGCAAACGTCACACCCAAATATTTGGTTTGGCGTTTGTTCCCTTGACGAAATGGATGGTGGAGAATTGTCCTCGCAGTCCTCACCATTTTTTGAGTTCTCACCCGAGTCGCACCATATATATATATATATATATATATATATATATATATATATATATATATATATATATATATATACTGGGCGAATACCCGCGCGTTGCACAGAATACAACAATATGTTTGCAATTTTTACAAATATATGTTTTTTAAATATATTAATGACATTGTTGTTAGCTTTTATATAATAAATCTTATAATAAGTTATATAAACATTGTTTGTTTTGAATTATATGATAATGTAGATATCTTTTAAAATTCTATAATCCTAAGTGTCTTAATGACGTCTACCTGCAGGTTACTTATGAATAAAATTAAATATAATATATGATTTAATGATATTTATAGTTGTTGTTATGATTAATTAATTTTAAAAAGTTTATATGCTTAAGATTTTAATTTCTATCATTGTAATTATTTAAAACATCAAACATTGTTTTTGTTTTTAAAGACAACAATATAATTTTTGTATATAATTTTACTTTTAACTATTGTTGTTGTAAGTTATTTAAAATAACGTATTTCGAAACTCTTAATTATTTTAATTTGGTTTCGGAAATTTAACATTTTTAAAATTTATTTGATGAATATTGTTAGTTTCTATGATTGTAGTTATTTAAAACAAAAAACATTGTTTTTGTTTTTAAAGAAAATATTATAGTTTTTATATAATATTACTTTTAACTATTCTTATTGTAAGTTATTTTTAAGCTATTTATTTGAAAATTGTTAATGATTATAATAAATAGTTTTATGGTTTTTTTTGTTTATTTAGGATTACAATTTAGGTTCAGCAATATAATTTATAATCTTTAACTATTTATAAAACAATCTCTCGATTTTTTTCAAGTTTAACTGAAATTTTGATTTAAGTTAATTGTTTAATATTATACTGAAATTAATAATTTAACTATTTTGCATCAACTCATAAATTATACCAATGTTGTGACTTTAAAATGATAATTGCTCACTTACGACAACATATTTAAACTAATAAGTTACCTATAATATGTTAAAAAGTTAAAGTCATAATTTTATAAATAGAAATATAATATGAGATTTTAATATTGTAGTTTAGTCAATAGTTTGAATGACTTCTACCCATGAGTTACACATGAATAAAATTAAATATAATATATGGTTTAATGTTATTAATAGTTGTTGTTATTGTTAATTAATTTTTTATAATTTATTTGCTTAATGTTTTAGTTTTCTATCATTATAATTTTTTAAAACATCAAACATTGTTTTTTTTATTTTAAAGGTAACAATATAATCATTTATATAGAGTTATGTTTAACTATTGTTATTGTAAGTTATTTTAAGCTACTTATTTGAAAACTTTTAACGATTATAAAAATATATTTAGGAAATATTTTAGTTAAATTGAGATTACAATTTAGTTTTTGCATTTATCTCACTTTTAACTATTTACAAAATATTCTTTGGTTTTTTAAGTGGAACTGAAATTTATATTTAAGTTGATATTGTAATGTTATATTTAAATTAATAATTTAAGTATTTTGTCCAAACTGTTCAAAATTTGTA